TTGGGGTCATCAACTCTTAATTAATAATAGTGGGATTGCATTCCTTAGATGGAAATGGTTTCATAACCATTCCGTAAACTACAGGATAGGATGATGTTTTGTTGCTTATGATGATTTCTGTTACTGCTATAACGAAAAATACTAAAAACAGAATAAAAAATTATTTAAGTGTCCCATACAACAGATTTTTGCCGTTTTTATAGATGGGTACGGAACACTTCTTGTCCGACTCCCACTTGGCGGATTTTTTAATTAAATAGATCCTTTATAAAGAAGTGCATTTGCTAATTCACTGCGTCACACTTATAATTATTATATTGCCGTCTGTTGAGATATAAGAGTACAGCCTCCGGAGATCAAGTTTATGCTCGCAACAATAAAACGCGTAAAGTCGGGTTGATAGCGGTAATCATTGGCTCCTCGCGTGTAAATAGCGATATGAATCACTAACGTTTCTGATAAGATCTCGATGGTAAAATTATCTAAGATGCAAACCTGCGTATATTTTATTTGATAAGGACGTCTCCAACTTATTAGATGATTCTCGGGTAAGAAACATGGAATATTTGGCACTAACCATACACACTATGATGAATTGAACCCACTATCTGTATTGTAACACATCCACAATGCATCGAGGTTTTAGAAATAGTATTGTTTGTTTCATAAAATTTTTGATATATGTTATTCTTATTTAAGAGTCGTTGATAATAATATGCAATATTCGCAGGTAAGAAAAACGGCAAGGCATCTTTGCACTCAATTGAGAATAGAATCAGCATCGTAAGGTCGTAAGTTTCTGAGTAAAACATCATTTATGACTATGACTGAAATAGATTAAGTTTTAAAACATCTGCGCATTTTCCGTGGTTATAGATGCATTATCTTCCATATTTACGTCGGCTAAAACGGTTGCTGTTTAAAAAAATAAACTAAAAGAGTAGTATAGCAGATATAAAAAATATACGGCCATTGCCCCGTTGTATAATAGGTTTGTTCACCGAGTGACGTCACATTGGTGACCCACTAAGAACTGCTTCTATGAAACAACATGCCTTTTACATTTGTGCTCGCGTCGAAATCCTCTAAATACGTAAAAGCTACAGATAACACATGATATCACAATTTACGTCCGATTTTATTCTCAAATTTGAGAGGTCCTCGTGTTTAACTCCAGCGGTGGACTTGTTTGAGAAATTCTTACATGTTTTTAATGTAGTTAGCAATTCACTATTTTTTCTTACAATTACCATATATTACATACAGAATAAAAACGACGTCATTATTATTTTATATATAGAACTATACATATTCACTATAAATGTATAACATAGCAGCGTATGCGCTATATATAGCATATAGTTAGAGACGTAACTTAACATACTGTTGCTTCTCGAGCGGCTTATGTAGTAATAAGAGGCGCACGGACCACTGTAGTAGATGATACCGAAATATCTTTGGTCCTTGGAGCGTAGGTAATCATCAATTACCACCACTTACGAAGATGCCAGCCAATTAAAACAAACGAAATAAAGGGAGTAAGCACAAGCGTTTTACTCTCAAAGTCTATCAAAAAAACGAAGTGGTATATAAGATACTTATTATACATTCGCGTTTCGTCTGGACAGTGAGGTAGCCGGGGCCCACTTTTTAAAACGTTGCCAACACATCTAAAAACCCTCGGATGTTGCAGATGTCCATGGGCAGCGGTAATAACTTAACATCAGGTGAACTGTCTGCTCGCTTGACAACTTTTCACATTAAAAAAATATAAATATACTTATCAGTCACCAGTCCGTAAATCAGACATAGATCATGTCGTGGGTCAATGCAATGGCATTAAAGAAAGACAAAGAAACAAACACACATTTAAACCTGTAATATTGTTAGTAGATTACAGATACAGACTAGGCAAGCAGTTTTTATGTTCTTAATCGAGTTATGAAATTTATGTGTGTATCGTGAAGAATGCAACGTTTATTCAGGTTAATGTCTGCGCATATTGTAATTATGCGAGATAAAAGTTTCGCGAGCTACCCGTCTTTGACGAAACTATTCGCTAATTACTAGAGATTTTAATACATAACTAATATTTTTGAATATATTATGTAATTAGATAAAAATGAGCTCCTTCTTCCTGTTATATTTCGTATATGATTGATTTATGACATACGTATCCTACATGACAAGTTGCGGTATAAAACAAAGCCTTTTTATCTTGACATAAGGTTTTGTCTGTTATTTTTATCCTATTCCATGATACAACAGATAACTGGCATTGCAGAAACATGTATTTTTTTCTCAGACAACTAAGCTATAAGCCACTTCTTATAACAGGTTTTTCCGTTTAAACTGTCATTAAAAGTTCAACTCACACTCATTATGTGTAGTTCCAAATCGTATTTTTTTGAGGCACACACAAAATAATTATGGAACAACGAAATTTTTAGTCTAAGATGTTTTATAACGTTCATAATTAGGGTCAAGTAAGTCGCGACTCAGGATTTGAGGAAGAATCGACGAGGTCACGATTGCTTGTACAATGTACCTTAAAGCGACAATGTTATGCCGATTTTTTCCTGTATATTTGTACAGATAATTAATTTTAGCTACAGGTCAGTTGGTTTTTCAAAGGTTTAGAAGCTTGAATATTCGATGATAAACTTAAACATGGAATGTGATAAAATCATTAACAATGACTTTTAAGACATTTTTTTCAATACTACTATAAGTTACTGAGAATACACTACATTTGTTTGTAAGCACAAACACACCATATGAAAGGAGTCGGCATTTCATGAAGGAAAAAATCTTATACTTTTTTCGATCCAATATTTATCAAATGCGATAGCTAATCTTTCAGTTACTCCTCGTATTAATGCAAAAATAATTTTAGTTAACCGTTTATCTCTGTGAGTACAAGAGTTCTGTGGTTTATTCATTTTTTTGAAAAATGAGGTAAACGGAAGCCCTTGATGGTGAAGTGGTCGTCACCACCCATGGATACTTGTAACAGGACGAGTCAGAATAGCATTGCGGGTTTCTGAGGTAGCTGTAGGTTTTCTGCTGGAAGGTGCCTAAGTTGTATCGATTCGGAAATACCGCTGAAGACAACTGGTTCCACAAACTAGCTGTATTGGGCAGAAAATTGCATATTCCATTCAATTATTTATATTAATTTTACATTCAATTGAGGACCCCTATGACGTTGTAGATAATGGACTTTTCACCTGCGACATAGGGCGTGGGTTCGAACCCCACTACTGGAAAAATATTGTGTGATGAACATAGTCTTTTTTCTGTGTCTGGGTATTTATACATATATCTATTACATGTACTTATTTATAAAGGAAAAGAATGTTTAAGTATGTTAATTAGTTACCTAGTATTCGTAAAAATATTTCCTGAAATATTTATTATTATTATTCTGGTACGTGTACATCCTACATCATTCAACTGTAAAGAGAACACAGGAACAGGTACATTGAAAACAATTTTGTTTAGGTCGGGTAGATATCCTCTTTATAAGATCAGCCAAATTCTTACTGTTCTCAGCTATACGCTCTAAGAATTTATTATAAGTCAAAATTTAAATCATCATCGGCAGCATCGCCACTTACCATTATATTGGATAGGAGTCAAGCGTTGCTCGGTTTGGAATAAAAAATTTAAAAAAATCCCACTTGCGCTTACAATAAAGTAATATCAAAGGCAAAAATTAAAAACTGGACACCTCAAAAGAATCATGCAGAATTCAGGGAGTCTATGATTAATGGCTGTAATTTTATTAATAAAGTTATTATTGTTATTTTTTAACTGCTACTTAACCCGATTTACGGCAATGTTATCCATTTGCTGCGGGCAGCCATCAGCGAAAATTGGCCCTATTACCTCGCTACCCTTCATTTACATACCTACTAACATTTACCTATCAAAAACACACGTGGTCACTTTAAACATTATCAGAAAATATTAAAAAAACGTTAAAAATGCTTACAACGTTAAATTGGTTGGTTAATAGGTAAATCTTCGTTTAAAGCTTTTTATACATTAACTTAATGTATACTTAAATGCCGTAATACACCCAAGTTCAATTAAATATTGCAACGTGTGCAATAATAAAATAACACATTGTTTGGCAAGTAATATTGTAGTCTATTATTGCATTAAAAAAAAAAAAAAAAAAGAAGACGCCTGCAATTTTCAAATAGCAATTAACGTGATAATAGTTTTTGCTGATATTATTTTATGGAACTGAATTATTATTACAGAATTGTTGACATTTTCTTTATACATTTATGTTTTCTAAATTGTAACAAAAGATATAAAATCAGTATGTCGTCAAACAGCAGAATGGTAAAGATATTATCTGTCCCTTGTCATGTCCCATGCCTCCATAGTCGCCATTATCTGTATCTATCGTTTTGGTTGTCAACGATGCGACATATATTTTACAAATTAAAAGATGTCGTCAGCAAACGCTGATATAACATCATCCATGGCAGCACCACTTTCGACTGGCCTTATATATAATTGCTGCGTAATAAGATACTGCTGATATGGCGTTGAGCGGCCGTAAAGGCCGATTAAGGATCACGCGTGTGGGACGTCTGGTAGCGCTTTCCACAAATTACGTCAACGAAGGAACTAAAGAAAGTCCATTGAGCAGTTTGCGTTTTAACAGTTCGGACTTCAATTTGAAACCGTGAGTACTTTTATCTTAGCCTAATCCGAAGTAACTGTTTTCAATAATATCTCTAACGATTTTAAAGATTCTCTTTCCTACTGTGTGATTGTCTCATTAATTATAATTCAGAAGCAAATATTAGATAATATGAATTAAAAGTAAATAGATTTGAAGCCAAAATTTCCCATGTGTTCAATTCAAAAATAAAAGAATCTTTTTTCTTCAAGAATTGCTCGACGCAAGATGATACTTTACATGTTTTTTTGATATTTTATATTTGTTAGCCTTCCATAAGATGAGAACTGCGCTCTTTATGCATTACATCACCTTGATCACATCGATCGCCTGTGAAGAACTGCTGTTTGGTGGAGATTATGTCCCGACGTCGTATGATCCGGGAGAATTGTTGACGTAAGTGTAAATAACATTATCCCTGTTCTTTTCTTTGTACAATGTTTTGCTTACAGTTAAATGGTTGTTTAAGTTTTTTCATGTGACAAAGTGGTAAACATGCTGGCGGTTCACCTGATTTTAAGAGATAAACGCCGCCCATGGACATTTGAAATTCCCGTAGAGTTGTAGATGCGTTGCCACCTCTTAATAAAGCGGGCCCCGGCTACCTCACTCACCAGACGAAACATAAAAGTGTAACACTTCTATTTCACGCCGGTCTTCTGTGCGGTAGTAGTACTAACCCGGAGGGACTTGCCCATTCATGCAATAGCCAACACTGTTGCGTTGCCCTACTACCTAGGAACTAGGTCTAGTTAGATATTTTGTAAACATAGATCAAATTTCAGATGCGGTACGACAAATAAATGGGTACTTGTATATCCATACAAATGCCTCGATTAATGCTTTATTATAAATTAGCTTCGACGTTTATTCTCACACGGGTCAAGTACTTTTTTCCAAAAAACGGTGTAACTCATCTAAAACAAATTTAGCACAAATAGAAAGATAAAAGCTTTATATAATGTTCTTGAGAAATATTTCTTAAAAGTTTATATTTATTGTCTTATTATATAAATCCTCACAACCTCGTTTCTTTATTTATTTATGTTGACTTTTACTCGTCAACATAAATAATAAAGCAAATGTCCTTCTGCATTTGAGCAAAAATAAGATATTTTTATTAATTCTATTACTAGCTGTTAGTCATCGTCAAATAGTCAAAATGACATGAATTCCTTCTAGAAAAATCTTCAACTTGAACGGCTCAACACAAGGCCGGTCTGGAAATGGCGTTAGATTTGAAGGTGAGACTAATGCGGGCATCGATAATACCTATGCTGACAAAGACGCTGAAGAGAGGCGAATTTATTCATTCCCCCCAGAAGGGGCCAACTTTCAATACGCCATCCAGCATAATGTTGACAATATTTACAAAATTACATACGCTGATGATAACCGACCTGGCGAGGGTCAGAAGACAAGGCGGAGGCGAAAGCCAAGGCTCCAAAGACCGCCAGATTTCCTCAGACCTCTCGGGCCGAGTTTGTCCCAGTTTGCCATCAGAGCACCCCCATACACAGGATCTGACCATCAAGGACCAATATACAGTAAGTTGTGTAAGCTATGTAATTGTTCTTGCAATAAAACGGGTAGATAGGTGTAATATAAGTCGAGCAATCAAAATAAGGAAAATACTGCACAGTAAAATGTTAATACTAAATACCTATGTAGTTGGTTTGATTGATCATTGACGACCCGATTGGCGAAGTGGATAGTGGACCGGTCTGTTGGGCCAGAGTGTGTGGGTTCGATTCCCAATTCTGGAGGAATACTGTGTAATGAACATAGTGTTTTTCAAGTGTCTGGGTTTTTATATGTCTACGATATGTGGAATTATTTACAAAAGGTAATAATATGTTAACAGTTACGTAGTATACATGGCATAAGCTTTACATAGTTTGGGCCTAAAAACCATTGTGTAAAAACATATTATGTACTGAAATATTTTTTTTATTTATTGTGTCATCAGTGCTAGTAGAAGTTACCGTGATCACTTACCGCATTGTAATATAATAATGTAATAAAATAAGAAATAAACATATGTAATAATATTATTTTATGGTGGTAACACTAGGTTTATTCTAATTGTCTATTTTTCGTCAATAACGGCAAACATAAGCCCTAAATTGATATTTGAGTAATTTAATTTGATGAAGAATTATGAAAGTGATGACATACCTACAAAAACACACACAAACCTCCATTATACTCGTAGTAGGCCCACGCAGCGCTGTTGAAAGAATGGGACAGTCCATCTGGGGTAATACCAAGACCTTACAAAAGACTGGCATGATTCGGAGGCGTGATACGTTTTCTACGGTGGTAGGGCCAGGCAGCAGTCTCGGGTGTTGCACGAATGGGTAAGCCCGTCTGGGTAAGTACCACGACCACACAGAAGACCAGCGTAAAGTGGAAGTATGACAAATACTTAAGCGTTTCGTCTGGTGAGTGAGGTGGCCGGAGCCCAATTTTCAAAAGGTTGTCAACGCATCTGTAACCCTCGGGTGTAGAAGATGTCCATGGGCGGCGGTATTCACTTACCATCAGGTGAACCGTCTGCTCGTTTGGCAACTTTTCACATAAAAAATAATACTTCTGCGTTTCGTCTGGTGAGTTAGGTAGCCGGGTCCCACTTCATCGGGACCATACTATACTCATGGGATGAAATGCAGAATTACAAATACTTCCACTTTACTCCGCTCTTCTCCGAGTCTGCGGTACTTCGCCGGAACCCAAAAAGCTGCTGATTGCCAAGGTAAAACCTAAACAAAACATAAGTACCCACAAATACATAAATAATCCTAAAATTACAATTTGCCCCTTTGTGAACTTGGGTAGTTTCACTGTGTGATTATGTATACCTTGCTTTCCAGGCCCAAAAGGACCTTCGAAGCCTTCTTTAGCCTCCGAAGCCGTGGATAGGGTCACCGAAGCTCTCACGTCGATAGCTTTGTTTGATGACTTGCAATGCGTACCTCGATTGCTGTGTGAGGCGGCGAGCGATGGAGCCCTGGGGTCATCGCAGACTCTCCAGTCTATTGCCGGCGTGCAACCTTTACTTACGTAAGTAATATTCCATCTGGATCTGACGTCGACCAAAGTTGAACTAAAAGTTACCACGGCATCTCTTTCACAACAAACTACTAGAAAAAAATTATGAAAAAAATTATAGACCTTTTTTTTTTTTTTTATGCGAAAAGTTGTCAAACGAGCAGACGGTTCACTTGATGTTAAGTGAATAACCGCCGCCCATGGACATCTGCCACACCCGAGGGTTACAGATGCGTAGACAACCTTTTGAAAATTGGGCTCCGGCTACCTCACTCACTTGGTCATGCTTCCAGTTTACGCTGGTCTTCTGTGAGGTCGTGGTACTTACCCGGACGGGCCTGCCCATTCGTGCAACAGCCGAGGCCGCTGCGTGGCCCTACCACCGGACCTTTTCATATCTTACACACCTTTACCTTACTCAGCTTTATGAATTTAAAGTGAGAACATCAGAATTTTGTGTACATCTGCACGTGTAAGAATTGACACATAATGACACACATTGAATTAGCACACATAAATTTTACTTCATTTTATGTTGTTGGTGTATCTAATGAAATAAATAATAAAAAAGAGTAAAAAAGAAAGATGCCGTAATGAGTAATGTCAAATCGCGTAAATACAAAAAATAATATGAGTTAAAATATTTCAATTTAGTAGGTTAAAATCGTCACACTCGATAACGGATATTTTGTAATCTTTTCCCTATATTAAGCATAAAAATAAAACGCGATACTTTTCAGTTCTAGCGAAACTATTATTTCTAGAATCTGTCAGAGGAGGCTTCGATAGAGCAAAAGGTAAAGTTGAAAGTATTTATTACGACAATATTCGATGCCGTCCGTACTAGTTTTCGATCAATAGTAGCGACGACAGGACGTGGTCCGCGGGCATTCATCACGCGTAGGGCTAGGACACTGCGCCAACGCGTGAGGTAACTTCAAATGGGCCAATGTTAACGGTCCGCTAGTAAAATTATATCTAACCCAATTAAAAGTAGCAGTTAGCGGTATCATTGAATAAGGGGACTAAACTTGCGTCGGTTTGAAGTTATTTGCCAAACTGGCGGAATACTTATCAAGCTGTTTGTCGCTGATATACATATTTACTAGCTGAACCCGGCCACACGCTACGCTGTGGCTTTTTTAGTTTTCACTAGAACTTCGGAATAAAAAGTATAAAAACCATTCTCCTGTTCGACAGCTAATGTAAAAAAATGTCACGTCAATCCATCGGCTAGTTGAGTTGAGTTTTGTGGTTACAAACAAACGGAAGCATATATTTAGTATATAAAGAAGTAGTATTTAAACATATAAGGACATTATTTTGTGTCGGAAACTAATTATCATGCTTTTTGTCAGTTGTGGAAGTCTATAAATGGGTTAACAGTTGGGTCTGCAGTGTATTGTAGTGTATTGGATTACCATATTAAAAATGGATAAATTTCTAAAGTAACTTATAATATATTAGTATGATTACTCTCTATAACTGGTACTATATACATATATATATATTTGGTAGTATATAATTTTAAATGAAATATTTCAGGTTACTCTCTACATACAGCGGCGTTAGCTCCAATCCACTTTTCGTATTCGGCCGAGCAGCTCTCTTGGGAATGTCGTCGAAGAATAATTCGGCATCGTGCCGGTATGCCTATCCGCTCTGCCCTACAGACCCCGAGAAATTGATCTATTACCTCAACAACCATAACGGGGGCTTCTTTAGGTTTTTCAACGCACCCCAACGCGGTCTACAAAATATCGGCCATTTGTATGACGGACTGTCGCAGAGTTCCGGGGGTCTTAACCCATTTTTGCACAATGATGGAGCTGACAACAATTTATACCAACAATACGAACATAACGGGATTCAAGATTACTCTCAGCAAAACTATGGAGTGAGGTTTCCATACAAAGAAGACAAATATGGATTGTTGAACAACGTACGATTTAAGAACAACGTTAACCTTAATGAAACGTACAGGATTGAAAAACGTATACAAAACAGACCTGGGAAATATGTAGACAGCAGTGAAGATCTAAATTTTGACGATGAAAACTACCAAACTGCGAAATGGTCTTTCCCCGAAGCACACAAAGATTTTATTAAAAGCGATAGCTTTCGAGTTGGCAAAGGTCTCAAATTTCCAGACTACGTAAACGAGGAGAACGATGTTAACAGTATCAAAAGAGATCCCAGGGGCTTCGTTTTTCCAGATACACTGAACAATCATTACTTGGACTTCAAAAAGTATCAAGGCAATAATCTGTCGCCGCACAGCAAGTACCACAATGATTTCGATGCCAACATTTACAAAGTGCATAATTATCCAGATGGATATGACAAGGAACAATCGATTCGTACCGTTTATGTCGTCAGAGGCAACGGTGACCCGCGGAATCCGGAAATTATTAAATTGAGGCCAGGGCAGAGCGTCCATTAGATACGTATCTGACCGCATTTATCTGCAGAATTGTTCTCGACGGTAATTTACACGGGATCATGAGCGTCCTAGGTGTTTATCCAACATTCAACCTTACTCCAATTAAAATTCCCTTAGAATTCATTCAGCTATCTCGGTGTGTACAAGGAGCAAACACGCAAACACATAGACATTTCCGTTTATTAGTACAATTGCTAAGTACATTGCTAGCTCTTGACGTTTTGATCGACCAGTCATCAAATGTTATTAGCCAGTCAGAATTGAATGAAATGAAATGTAAATTGTGAGTGCTTTTTTCCTGATTGCATTTTATTGTAAACTCTGTCAATTGCTGTAAATTGTTGTAGCAATTTTATTTTAGTTTAAAGATATTTTCGTTGTAATATTGAATGGATTAATTTTGATTTTTAAAACATGGATATAATATAATTATTAAGGTTAAAGTTATAACGTTTAATATTTATCCTTCAGTCTAATTTCTTTGCAACTTTGTTGAGTAATTTAATGTCACAGTTTATTATGGAATCTGTACTTTTACGATACGCTTACAAACTGAATATAATTCAGATGGGCGAACCAGAATCCACTGCGACAAAAAATGCAGCATATCGTTATCTCGCTAGTAGCTTACCTTCCATTAATATCCCATGGTTAATTGCGATAGTAATTAAGTCATTTATGTTTAACGCATAGAGCCAAATCGTATGCATCTATGCCTTGAATATACCAGGCCTTTGTGTCTCAGAGTTTGGTGCTCTTGCCCAGCTTAGCCGGTTTGTGAGCACCTTAAGAATGGCACTTCCGTGTACTTAGACTCACAACATAATGTCAACTTGTTCGGTCGACTGCTCGGGACGGAATGGAACGTAATCATTTAAATTGAAACGATCCGTTGGATCGCATCGGTCGTTTCTCATTACGTTTATGCTGCTACAGATATTTGCCGCGGCCTCAATTTAATTTTACCACCTACAGGGAACGTTTGCAATTTTCAACCCGCTGAGGTCGCCTGCACAGCTCACGATACGATAACGACTGGAATGTTTTCGCAAGGATCGGGGTTTGAAGAGATTCAAAATTCAATAGGATTTTTTGTTATTTCATATATTTATGGACACTTACATAAATTCTATTTAGAATTGTCTATAGTTTTTGGGTCTGTAATAAACTGCGTAGATGCTTAAACTATAATTTTCATTATGCATCAAATATTTGACCGCTCGATTGTTGAGGTTCTTTCCATCTGAAATTCAACAAGATAATGAACGACGCGCCCGCGTCTGGTTTCTTAATTAAACATATAATTAGGAATTAGATGATAATCTCTAGATTAAAAGGATATGTTAAAAATATAATGTCAATTAATATCACTTGTGACAGTACAAAAAGATGCAAATTTTAATTATTATTAATTGTAATCTAAACATAAAGTAAATAGTGTAACTAAAAAGGATTTATGTTTTTAGTGTTTTCTAATTTATATACATGAATAAATTTGGCAAATTTATTTCGTTGAGTAAGATTACGAGTTCATTTGATTCTTTATAAAACTATAAGAAGAACTTTATAAAACAAAATATAAGAAGGCACAAGACTATGGTGGCTCAAGTTTTATGGTTCTACCATGAGCTTGGGATCCGATTTTTAATAAAATTAAATCTACGCCCAAAAGAACCACTACTGCAAGACAAGCTAGCAATTGGTTATACTATTGCCGAATATCTTGACGACGCCAATGTGTGGGGTTAATACTGTTGATACTCATCACGTAGGCTAAAACAAGACTATTGTACCTGTACTATTATATTGTAAACTGATTTTTTTTAAAAGAGCAACTGTTGAGTTTCTTGCCGGTTTCTTCTCAACACAAACTGCTTTCCGAACCGGTGGTAACTTACGAACGTGTTAATTTCTTTGTAAAATTTTGTCGTTTCATAAGAACGCGCAAGCGTCTATGTGAATAAAGATATTTTATTATTTTTATTTATTTATTTATTTATGTATTTATTGTACACAAAACGCAGGATACAAAAAAATGTTTAAAAAAAGTAATGTACAAAAGGTAAGCTTAACTCAATGCATGAGTTCTCTGCCAGCTAACCTGGTGAGAAAAATATTTGATTGAAGGTAGCTGAAAATGTGTTTAGTGCACAGAGATATTTCTTTAACATACCATGCGTACATATATATATTAATATAAATATATATCTATAAACATATATACACAATACATAACATACACTTAATATATATTAAAAAAAGATAGAAAACAAGATATATAACTATAAGGAGAAAAATACTTTATGTGGATGAATAAAACTCCTTTGCTCTTTTCTTGAAAACGTTCGATGATGGACTGGCACGGACATTATGAGGTAAAGAGTTCCAGAGGCGCACCGCGTGTACTATAAAAGAGCTGCCATAACAGGAAGAAGAGTGCGAGGGTAATTTTAGAAGAAGGGATTTGATCTCACGACAGGGTTGACCACGCGGTACCATGTACTCAAAACGCTCACGGAGGTACAGAGAAGCCGCAGGATTTTTGAGAATTTAGTAAAGTGTAGATACTGCATGCAAATCTCGACGGCGACGTATGGGTAACCATTACAACTGAGATCGGAAGCTAGAAATATGATCGTATTTACGCAGCCCAAAAATGAAGCGTATACAAAAATTTTGTAAGCGTTCCAATTTATTCAGCAGTTCTTCCGCAGCATCCAAGTAGCATACGTCCGCATAGTCAAGAAGAGGTAGAAGAAGGGACTGGGCGAGTGTAATTTTTGTTTCAAAGGGCAAAAACCTTTGGAGACGCCTGAGAGAATGAAGCGAGTAATGTATCTTCCTGCTAACTTCATTAATGTGATTGGTTCAGGATAACTTGCTGTCAAACAAAATGCCAAGGTTCTTAGCACACGAAGAGTATTGTATAGTAATACCATCGTAGCATACCGGTGGCAAGTTATTACCGTTGATGAAATTGAGCATATACGTGCTGCCAAAAATAACCGCTTGGGACTTTGCTGGATTAACTAGAAGTCCAAAAAATTTTGCCCAATTACAAATTTTTGAGAGATCATCGTTTACTCCAGATATAGCATCATGCATCTCGTATACCTTAAAATGGCGGTAAAGCTGCAAGTCGTCTGCATAGAGATGAAACTGAGAAGAGATTACATGAGTGACAGCATTAATAAATATTGAAAATAAGAGAGGATTATTATTAGGAGGAGGATTATTATTATTATCAAGATAAAATTAGCTCATTCAGCGTAGATCGGAACCAAAGGAAATAATTTAAAAATTGACGGTAGCCCAGGTTAACTATGACATTCTGAAGTTCACGGCCTCAGTCTGTCCCGTGAAAGCTGTAAAGGATTCGAAACGTCGGTAAATAAAATTTAAAAATAATGTAATAATCGTAAATAGTCAATGTGCAAATAGTTTTCTCAGTCCGAAATATGTACTCGACTACCCGATTGGCGTAGTTAGTGCTATAGTGCACCTGTTTTAGAGGTTGAGGGTTCGAACCCCGCTAGTAAAGTGTTTTTATTTACAAAAGAAAAGTATATTTATGATTTTTTTTAGTTTTCATAGTGCAAGCGTTGCTTAATTCGGGACTAGTGAATGTTTTGTAAAAATATATATCCTGAAATATTCATTTATATATTTGGCTGGATTTAGGATGTAAATGGACACTCTTTCCTTACCCTTACATTTTAATTTAGTAAAGTAATAGCCTATATTTGTCCTATTGCTGCGTAAAGGCCTCCTCTGTACAGACGCTCTCAGTCCAACACGCGGCCCCTCTGCGGATTAGCGGACTTCATATATCTTTTTATATAAATAAATATTTATCGTTTTTTTATTATTTCGAAAGTATGCAGGTTTCCTCACGATATTTTCCCTTCACCGCTGATCACGTGATAAGTCAGCACTTAAAATCAACAATTTCATTGGTGCCGGCACCGGAGATCGAATCGTATTTTATGTACGTAACATGTTGAGGTCACACTTCATACTCTCTGGCTAACCTGTATCAGTTTAATTGGTACGAACATTATAACTATCACTTTGAAATGTTCGTACGAAATAAATTTTATTTCTAGCATACCGATACAATGTGTGATAAATTGTTACCATTTTTCAAGCGATTTTATCATCTTTAATTAACATTTATACGCACAACCTTATGGATGGATGGATGCTTTGCAACATTAAAGGCCAAGGAATAGAGTAAGGGTTTTAAAAACCTATTATTTCATTCTCGAATTCCAGCATAACAGTTTATTGAAAATCTAAGGAGTTATTACCACGTCCTGGCAATACATTTCTTTCGGATTTAGTCCGAATGAAGCATCCTCAAGAATGATGGTTTAAACGAAGTTCAATTACGAAGCTAGTACGGTTTATAAGTACGCGACAAATAATCCGATTTTGGTGGATCGGATTAATGAGTTCTCCGTGTAATTTAAGATAAGGTGGGTAACGAGCAAGTATACTGAAGGTATGTCATCAAAATCCGCCCCCACCAGAAGATAGGCAGAAGAATAAATACACAATACACTCTAACCATCTATGTTGCCCTGGTACTTCAAATTTCGACAGAAAACGTAACCTTTCTTCTCTTCTTTCACTATAGTAAAGTGGGTGCTTCGCAAACATCGTGTTCGTAGTCGTCAGCTGTAAAGCGATTTTACCAGAGGCGTTCGTGACATTTGCTGGTTCCGGTGGAGCGGTCGGTTCCTCGCCTTGAACTTAAACATTCGATAGGCTTAAAATCATCTCGGCGTTGCCCAACACGTGTCACAGAGTTCGACGTGTGTATGGAACATGAAGAGACACCAAGGTAAATCCACGTATGCTCTCCGGTACTTTCTAATGGAGGTGGTGTGTACTTTATTATGTTCTCACTTCTTGATTTGATTATTGTCATTTTTCACTAAGTTTATAGCGTTAAACCTGAGGCGGACTGCCTCGGACCACTGGCCACAATTACGAGGCTGTTATTTTGACATCAGCCAACGAATAGCATGTATGTTGAATCGCAACCTGCGATCTTCATAACTTATGGTAAAAAGCAAAAGACTGACAAGATGTGACAGAAACGGAAAAAAAGTAATAGGTGTTTTCTTTTCTTGATTAATAATTACAATTATTATGTGTTTAAAATGTATAATTCTTGAAACTAACGAACCGATTCTGGATTTTTTACTAATATATAAAACTGTATAATAACATTTCAACATTCCAAAACAACATACAATAAATCTTAATATGTAGATAAAATAATGTCAATTCAATCAGGTTTCTTTAACATTAGGAAGGTAGGCTAGGTAGTTTCAAAAACGTGCAATACAATTCGATGAAAAATCCTATATATCTCCCTTCTCCCTATAGTATAGTATATCTCTATAAAAAATATCGCGTGTTAACTGTTAGAGCGAGAATATCAACGCTAAGATTTCGTTACGCTCATAACAAATCTATTGACAATTCAATCAGTTCTCTTTGACGTTACATTTATTAAATGAAACACGTTGCGGGGCGTAGGTTAGTTTTTACAAGTGCTATGTGGCAACGGCAGTTCGTTTATCAAACACATGTCGTTGATTGATTTATAATGTTAAATTAATGCACGCGTAATTATAGTATGATAATGTTTTACGAAATCGATATCAGCCTGCTTTTTTAAATTGCCGTCGAAGAAAAAGTGTCGGTGTCCGAGGTGAGTTCTACATTGAATTCTGCTAGTGTGAGGTTGTATCGTGTTTTTATGCAATTAAAGGTGAGCTAAGAAAGACAGTCATGGGTTAAGTTTATTTTTTTATGTGAGAAGGTGGCGAACGAGTTGGTGGTTCACCTGATGTTAAGTGATAACCACCCATAGACAATTGCAACACTCGTAGGGTTGCAGAAGCTTTACCATCTTTGTATATAAATTGGGCCTCGGCTACCTCACTCACCAGACGAAACGCAGAAGTATTTTTTTTATGTGAAAAGTTGCCAAGCGAGCAGGTGGTTCACCTGATGTTGAGTGAATAACACCGCCAATGGACATCTGCCACACCCGAGAGTAACAGATGCGTTGACAACCTTTTGAAAATTGGGCTCCGGCTACCTCACTCACCAGACGAAACGTGAAAGTATTTGTCATACTTCCACTTTACGCTCATCTTCTGTGATGTCGTGGTATTTACCCGAACGGGCCTGCCCATTCGTACAACAGCCGAGGCTGCTGCGTGGCCCTACCACCGTAAGTATAACACTTCTACTTCACGCCGGGTCTTCTGTGGGGTAGTTGTGCTTACTCGGATGAACTGGTCCATTCGTGCAACAGCGAAGATTGTTGCACGAATGGCCAATGTTATGGTACAATCATAATCATCATTTCGGCCCGTTTTAGTCCAACATTCCTGAACATAGGTTTCTCCCGCAGACTGCCATAAAGCATCATCCTGAGCCACCAGCATCCATCGACGTCCCGATGACTTAAAATTACTTAGATTACTTTGTAAATATTGGTTCGTGTGTAAAATTTATGGCTGACTAGGATATCTCTATTAAAACTCGAGTGGCAGCCTTGTATTGACCATCGCAGTGTACGTGACCCCCTAATTGAGTGACGACTTGTGCAAATCTTCGGGAAGTCGATGGATGCAGGTGGCTCAGGATCGTGCTTTGTGGCAGTCTGTGGGGGATGTCATATTCAGCATTGGACAAGAAGTGGCTGAAAAGATGTTGATGACGAAGGTAATTATATTATTTTAATTGGTTTCGTGCAAGTATTGTTACGCGGAACACTGTGTCATCAAAACCTCATTGGTATGTATATGACAGCTGCCATTACCAGATGCTATCGGGTTTGAATTATCTGCATATCAATTAATCGGCATGTAAGGTCCTTTATCTGAATGCTTGCGACCGTGCCGAGTTCTAGGAAGGGTGTGAGTTATCTGGAAGACGAACCAAGTATTTTCCCGTAACATGATGGGACACGAGGCTTACCTGAAGGGAGAAGTAGGCCACAGTTTCATACTATACAAGCTTCACCAACCTTGCAATGGCCTAAACGTGAAAGGTGACAAGTCCAGAGCAGTCCATTGGACAATTATGAGCAAGGACAAACACACAAATATGAGGTAGATATGACACTAGCGCACCGAAACTGAGACACTAAAATTACGCCAATTGGTTAAATAAGATTGAAGTTCTATAGACTGATATCTTTCTCTATCATGCATTTTATATCATCTGTCCCATTCGTGTATATATGTCATACTAGCTTTTCGCCCGCGGCTTCGCGGGAAAATTGTGTTGATGATTGAATGTGATGATGAGGTTGATGAATGAATTGGAAATTGTGAATTTGAATGATGATGAGTTTGAAAGGTGATGAAGATTGTTGTTTGTGAAGTTGATGATGTTGGGAGTTGGATTGATGTGTTAAAATGAATTTTTGTTGAATTGATTGAGTTTGATTGATTGATGAAAGTGAATGTGATGATGATGAATTTGATTTTTTGTGATGAATTTTGTTGGAGAATGAATTGATTTTTGTTTTTTTTCGCGTTGAAGCCCTTAAATAAATAGCTTTCTTTAAAATATGTATATATTTTAAAGTTTTATCCAATTAAAAAATTGCCCTTGTCCTTTCTCAGGCTCTAAACTATCTGTGTACCAAAATTCATTTAAATCGGTTCAGTAGTTTTAGCGTCAAAGCGAGACAGACTGACAGAGTTACTTTCGCATTTGATAATATGGATTATGTAAAGCGGATTAATTTTTAAACGCCATCTTTATATTTCGTGTGCGTCATCTTTATTAAAACATCATTGATTATGAGACAGCCACATAAAATAAAAAAGCAAGGGAATATGCCCTTGCTTATTTTCAACCACATCTACTTTGTCCCCGTCCTTATTAAAAGATAGAATGTGTTGTTTTATAATAATGATACTAGATGAACAGTAAACAGGTAAGAAACAGTCCAGATAAGTGATGTCAGTTTTAAATGTTCACCTAGCATTGTTAATAGGCGATAGTTTCAGGTGCCTTTCGGTGCTATATATATGCGGTATAGAAAGTGAAAGGAAAGTTAAGTAACAGCTTATACTATGACACACTATTGACATATTCCAAGGGCGGGCAAAGGACTCATCTGTACAGAGGGTTATAGGGCATAGTCCACCAAGCGACTCCGCCGCTTGCTAAGTTAGAACTCAAAATTGCAAGTAACAATTTCGTTGGTCCCGACAGCATGACTTGAACTAAGGTTGCTCGAGTATATCGAATTAAAAATTAGCTGTTATAAGGAATATATATAAAATGGAGCTTTCACTGTGGCAGGGCCACGCAGCAGCCTTGGCTGTTGCACGAATGGACCAGCTCGTCTGGGTAAGTACCACGACCTCACAGAAGACCGGCGTAAGTGGAAGTATAATACTTTCGCGTTTCGTCTGGTGAGTGAGGTGGCCGGAGCCCAATTTTCAAAAGATTGTCAACGCATCTGCAACCCTCGGGTGTAGCAGATGTCCATGGGCGGCGGTATTTACTTAACATCAGGTGAACCGCCTGCTCGCTTGGCAACTTGTCACATAAAAAAAGAGCGTTCGGACGCTGATCTATTACGGCTAGGTGGTTTTAATGTTTCCTTAAAGGACACAATGCCAGCCATTCCAGCCAATAATATCCTAATAACACAATTTATCTCAATCAATAAAACGGCCTCCTTGTTTTATAATGATTTAGCTCCAGCGAGCAAAAGGATGCTGCAACTTATTTTCCAATTACAATAGTCATTTTACACGCTGCTCACCGTAAAAGTCCGCCTCGAATTAATTTGAATGATGTATTATCACGACCTCATATCGCTGGAGAGGTGAGATTGGTAGTAATACCAATTGTTCATATACAGTCAGTTATTTGATGACTCCGTGGCGCAGTGGCCAAAGTATCGGCTGCGGCGTCGGGGTTTGTGGGTTCGATTCCCACACGGGACAACTATTTGTGTGACCCACAGATAGCTTTTCCGCATATGGGTGTTTGTCCGCGTGAAATTTATGTTTGTAAAACGTCCTTACAACACAGGATAAAGCTGTCCAAAAGTAAGGGCAATTCTTGTTACTATTCTGGCTGGAAAAAACTACGGCCGGAAGTCTTTTCGTCCGTAGTTTGTGAGTTTGTGAAACCTCATTGGACACGTGTTTTGTGTATTAAAGGTACCTAGTCCGGTAGTTGAATCTCAAATGAAAAAGGAAAATAGGAAGAAGAAAGAATAAGAGCATCTGGTAACTACCTACATCACGACAGAAATTAGAATAAATGCAAAAAAATTATTCGTTTTTTTATACAGATAATTTTTATCTGTATAAAAATACGAATAAATTTTCAAGACATGGAAATGTGCATGATATAAATACAAGGAACAGACATAAATTAATTCTACCTACAACTAGACTGCGTAGAGTAGGAATTTTTTTATGAGAGAATGTATATACGTTTTTACAATGTATCAATTGCTAAATTCAATAAAATGTAAAAGGACGTTTCTGAGTTGAAGGCTATTATTATATTAGTGGTCATTTAAATGATAACACACCCTGGAAAAGAATTGACCACTCCAGGCTCGATCGCCATGAATTAAAAAAAAAGGTTATAATTTAACTGTGGTAGGTGGGCAGGTCCGTCCGGGTAAGTTCCACGACCTCACAGAAGACCGGCGTAAAGTAAAAGTATTAAACTTTTGCGTTTCGTCGTTTGTGTGAGGTAGCCGGGGCCGACTTTATTTAAAGGTGGCCATGCATGGACAATTTCCACCCTACGAGTGTTGCAAATGTCTATGGGCGGCGGTTATCACTTAACATCAGGTTGTTTTCCACTTCACAAATAAAAAAAATAATGTTTCACGTTGATTATTTATCATTCATTCTGTGATCCTGCTCTTCAGTAAAGTCTTTGTTTGACATCTGAAACCATTTGTTGAAAACGTTGAAGAGTCATCTAACCAAGTTAATCGTTAGGAGTTTTATTTTTTTTTTAATTCCAGCACATAATTTCATGTGCTGGACGTTCTTCGTCAGTTAGTCAGCCTATACAATACGAGTTGAAGATAAAACTGCAACACATATTCCACACATTACTTAACCGATTTTCACCAGAATTTAACGAGTCATTACCGACGTATTCGTTTGAGTTAAGCAAAGCGATGGTATAGATAAAAATGGGATTTTTTCTGACTCAACAACATGTACTTGTATTTACTGTGCCATTTGTGGGGAACAAAAGCTAGATAAATTTATAGTAGAGACACAGAACTTTAACGGTTTCAATTTGACACCAGATGAAAAAAAAAGAACTGTATACTATGTTTTGTTATATATGATTAACGACACACGCGTTAAGTAAAAATTTCAACTCGAAATTTAATAATAAGCAGGGAATCAATCCTAAGCAAACAATTAAAGGGGAGTGTAGATTGAAACTCGTTGCATTCAAACAAAATTTCTCCAGGTGTCTTTGTTGCATGATCAATACAGAATGAAAAAGAAGTAAGTCAATAGCCACGATAATGTTTATAAGTACATTATATATTATTTTTTATTATTATAGTATTTTATAAGAGATGTGGCATTGTTTATTTTATACACATAAGCAACCTGTTCGCAGTACAAGTCCTGAACAATTAAAGAATTCTAGCTGTGTTGTCAACAATTATTAGCAAAATCGGATCAATATTTCACGGAAGACTAGGGCTATTGCACTAGTCATGTAAAATATCGAAACATTATTTTAGCAGAATTACTCGATTACTTCACCAGCGCGCCGTTAGCCAGGTATCAATGGTTCGTGGAAGCTCTCGGCTGGCAACTTCCGTCCTGGTGACGTCCACTTCGCTGGCAACGAACGCTTCGTGGTTTGAATTTTAAGTACGAAGTGTGCACGGCTCAAATGCGTGCGTCAGTTTTGTTTAATCTACCGATAATTTCTTACTAAGAGAAATATAACAATAAACTCTAGATATCATACGGTAAATGTTCGTCCAGTAAAAACCGGTTCACTGTTGCCATGAAGGTAAATAATATAATATATGAATGTCTCCGAAGGTAAAGAGTATGTAAGAATGAGCCGTGATGGCTCAGTGTCCGGGCGTTCGCCTTTAATTCAATTTACTCGAGCAACCTGAGTTCGATCCCCGGTACCGGCACCAATGAAATTGTTCATTTTAAGTGCTGACTTATTACATGCTCAGCGTTGAAGGAAAACATCGTGAGGAAGCCTGCATATTTTCGAAATAATAACAAAAATGTTTCGAAAATATGTGAAATCCGCCAATTCGCAGTGAGGTCGCGTGGTAGACTAAGCCCTGATACCCTCTTTACAGAGGAGGCCTTATAGGCTGTTACTCTACTTTAATTTAACTTAAAGATTGTCACTATGCGAAAACAATATGCTTCTGATGGTATAGTTTCCACAATAGTTCATTTTTACATTCTCGTAGTTCTAGAGTACCTGTAGAGTCGGCAGGTCCATCCGGGTACCACGACTTCACAGAAGACTGGGTGAGGTGGAATTGTTATACTTCCCCGTTTCGTTTATTTTAAAAGGTCGCAACGCATCTGTAATCTGTAACCCAAAGGGTGTTGCAAATGTCAATGGACGGTGGTTGTAATTTAACCTTCAGGCCAAAACCGTCAGCTCGCTTGCCGCCTTCTCACATTAAAAAAAAACGGTTAACTAAATATAGAGCGAATTTATTGTTATTTCAATAACATAAATGCCAAAATTGGCGTGTTTAAGAGAAATCTTTATGACGAAATGGCTAAACATATTATAATGTAATTTCAAATTGAAATTACTGAGGCCACTCTGAAGTTGTTTTCACTAATGTAGAGCTAGATTATACCTGTCCTATATCACCTTATGTAGCTTAAATAACAGATTCATAGCTTTATAGCCTAATATTTGCATAAAATCGGAAAATCGTGACTTGAAAAATTTGTCGTTGTCAAATTGGTTTAGGCGGGCGAAGCAAGAAAGTATCTAGTGATGAAGAAAGCATGTAATAAAAGCTCCAAAGAGCTCCTTTAGTCGGACGCGGAAACAGTAGGAGCGCACAACACGAGGCTGTTCCAGGGCGGTTCTCACCGCTCCCAGCCACCGATTAGCTAATTGCACAGTCGACGGCCATCGGGGTCTCGGTCCGCACCGCAACTTCGATGGCCCTTAGATGACATGTCGTAATTAAACGCACGCATGAGCACATGCGCGGCCCTACCCACAGCGAAAGGCCCAAACCCGTGGGCTCTGGCTAGCCCACCGGTTCTGCGTCAAATGAAGCTTTAATAGTCTCGGGACTGAAAGCAAAAACATCAGTTAATACAAGACAAAGACAACACGAGGCACTCGCGGTGCACCCGCGAAAATTAGTCACAAAGTCACAACTCGACCGCGCCCCCTAAACATCCCATAGCCGCGGAGCTCAGCGCTCAGTGAAAGTGAGGCGCGAAGGACGCAACCTCAGTGCGCGTTCGACTCCCAGCAAGAGCGGACGCCAAACGCGCGCGTATTATTTCCCCGACATCGAAACACGAAGCGAGCTCGGACCGATCGAGTCTGATTTAAGTATGTGCATCCCTTTACGTTGTTCCGTTGACGCGCGTCTCGTTCGACCGTGTTTTTGAGTTTCGAAAATGAATCCGATTCGCGGGTTCCCTACGCGTTTTGTTTCGCCTCGGTTTTGTTTTACACGGGTCTGTGTTTTGAATTTCGAACGCAACTATTCGCGTGGAGGCGTGTGTTTTGTTTTGTTGAATGCGCAGTGTTAGGTGTTTTGAATTTCGAATGTCCGAAACGGATTACTGGGGTGGTTACTTTCTATGAGTTTTGTTTCACTTGATCGTGTTCTGAATTTCAGACGCCAGAAACCGTTTGGGTTGACGCTCGCTCTTCGGTGGTTTTGACGACAAGAGTAACATAATTATTTTTGACATAGTCGTATTTATGGACGTAGTTTAATAAATAGAGTCGACATTTTTTAAATTCTGTTCTTAATTGGCAATGTTTTAAGCGGTTTAATTGGTTTAATGATTTATTTATTTATCGCTTATTATTATTTAAGTACTCTTATATTAATTAATATGTTGTGTAATTCCTCCTTACATTTAGATTATTGAATTCAACGAACTCGAATTAGCAATATATCGATGATTATGAGTAATCGATTTTGTTTTCATATAAGAGAGATAAGATAATCTAGGCTTTCTTTTAAATTATTCGTGTCCGTTCTAAAAAATAACTTATGATTTCTTTGTACTCTAATCTTTAGCCTGTGATAAAATGCGATGAGTTCATATAATATCTGGAAATAATATGGAGTCCTCACTTTATCGTGTCCAGTATTTCAACGTTTTATCAAAAAATTGTTATGTTTGTACGTAAGTACGTTTATTCTGTATTAATTGAAACTGACGAAACTTACATTTCACAGTTGTCTATCGCTAAAATCTTGCATCTTTTGTTATAAAATAAAAATAAATATATTACACGGTTATAATAAATATGCTATGAAAATGTGCGTTTCAAATTATCAACATTACCGCTCGGTTTTTGAAACACTGGTCATCGTAGATGTCAACTAATCAGTTGTCAAATGGCTTTTCAAAAGTCATTTGAGTTGCCAAAAGGATGGTTATAGTCTTTGAATTGATCATTCTGATCATTAAGAAGATCATTCTGGTCAATTCAGAGAGTTTAAGCAACTAAAATGAAATTTGAAAAGCCATTTGACAGCAGATTAAGCCAGCCGGGCGTAAGTTTACGTATTTATAATTTTTTAAAAATAAATAAATAGCAAACAAAGAATACGATAGCTTAATGAATGTATGTGGGTTCAACAGCAGTTTATAATTAAATGTTTGAAGTGTATTCGTTATTGATTGTTCACCATCGCCTTTAAGAAACAACCGCAGATAAAGACACGGCCTTGTTTGGAGTCTTTGATGGGTGTATTAAATATTCTTCAAATATGCAAATGTACGTTTCGCATTGTTCCGTTTTTGATGTCACTTATTTCTAACTTGATTTTTATTTTAAAATAATGCTACCTGAGGTCAAACAACGCTTTGAAAACTATTTGTAGATACTGTTAACGCGATTGAAAACTGTATGGTTTGAATATTACATATGACATAGTATAGATGAATGTATGTATGGATGGTGTGAGAGGTGTACAATGATTAGGAGTAACTGAATATTGTCACTTATATTCAATGTCTACGTACTTTTTATGTGTTTGCGTGTACGCACATTGCAAAACGTTTGGATGACAAACATGTTGAATATTTCAAAACTGTAAGACTGTTAGAAGTCCACCGTCCCGAAGGTGATATACTCCCGACCATTTTCCAAAGAATGTCGCATAAAAATGCATTTGTTGATTATATCTTCCCTACAGTTAAAGTTCTCGATACTTTTGTAACGTGAAGTTTAATTGTGTAATTAAACTTACGTTTAGGTTAAAGCTTTTGGTTAATTTACTTTTTGATGACTTTGTGAGGACTTTGCCGGCTTGATACAGGTAAGAAGTTATTAATAGTAGCATATTACACAGATGAGAAGCGCAGAATAAAAGAACTTATGGTTTTGCGTTTCTCTGATGCTTGGGGTAACTGGACTCCCGGGAATTATTAATTTTATGGTCGCCCGCGCATTCGCAAACTCCCTGGTGTTACCGCAACTTGTATAATCAGTAAAGTAAAAGTAACGGCCTATACATGTCCCACTGCTGGGCAAAGGCCTCCTCTATACAGAGGGTATCAGGGCACAGTCCACCACGCGGCCCCACTGCGGATTGGCGGACTTCACATATCTTCGAAATATATATTTTTTTGTTATTATTTCGAAAATATGCAGGTGTCCTCACGATGTTTTCCTTCACCGCGTAGCACGTGATAAGTCAGCACTTAAAGTTAAAAACTTCATTGGTGCCGGCACCGGGGATCGAACTCAGGTTGCTCGAGTATATTGAATTACAGGCGAGCGCCCGGACACTGAGCTATCACGGCTCTATAATCAGTGCGACTGCAAAAATATCCTATCAGTTGTATGCTAATTCGTAAACCTCGGTTCGCAATAAGGGTGTCGGCCTTCGCTTATCAGACGATAACGGTACCCCATTAGAAAAACGTACGTAACACGCTTTTGTATGCAAGATGATAAAGTTGATAACACGTGACGTAACCGATAAGCGGTGCGTAAGGTGTGTTTGTTCGTAATTTACAACCTGGTGCATTCCACTCGCCATGGAATTGTTCGCGGTTCTCCTAGCTTTAGTAGTATCCTCGTTTTATCTGCTAGAAGTACATAAATATGAGGAAAACTTTCTGCATATGTATTTCCGGACGTAAACGACATTGGTACTTCAAGGACTGGTAATTTCTTGTATTTACGTGATTACACATTAATAAATGAAATTACTAAATGTTTTCGGATTTATCGCGTTTTTTTTAGTTTTAATTCCCGACGTTTCGAACCCTTTACAGCGTTCATGGTCCCTTGACCAACTTAAACATAGTTTCATTTAATAGCTGGTTTTCATTATATACCGCCAGGTTAGGTGTTTGCTTGTTTTCCACTGTCTCAGCTAAAAATAGAACAGTTAGAAATATAATGATATAATACACAAAAATTAAATTCCAGAACCAACAAACAGCGACACCGTTCCACATTATATATGAAAAGGGGTTACAGCGCACAGTTTTATGACATGTAATGGATGGTAGGTTTTTGATAACATTTACTTCGGTTCGAACTTCACAACGACGAATTCTTACTCTATAATCGATTAAAATGTTAATGTGGTTATAATTTTCTAAACCGTTATTGACTGTTCCCGTTGTTACATCTTTTTTAACTTATTTACAACGATGCTATTGACAAAGGTCGATCTGCGGTTTTGAAGCGTGCCAAATGTATTCCTTTTTACTTTTGAAAACTTTTCATTTCAGAACTCATTTTTAAACGACTTCAAAAAAGGAGGAGGTTTCTCAATTCTTAGTTTTATTTTATTTTATCGTTCGTGGATAACTTCGTCGTTTATGGACACATTTTGATGATTCTTTTTTTGTCGGAACGTCGATATCCCAAGGGTGGTACCATGATAAGGATATGACGATGACATCCCAGATAATCGAGGGATAGGTATTAAAAATGTTTTTAATTTTCTGATTAAAGTCGGTTTTTTTTGTTAAAAATTATACTTGTATTCACCATGGTATCTTATATATTAAAATATCTTTACCTATTTAAACATCGTGGTGAGAATGACAATTGAATGTTTATTGTAATGTGCCTCCTTTTCTACTCGTTAATAAAACTTTGGGTGATAAATTATTGAATATGGAACCCAGAATTTGATCTCTCTCGTCTTTATTCTAGGTTTTAAGCGTTTCTCATAGAACTTTAAGTCATAAAATCTCTCTCACCTTTGCTGATAATTTTTTTTTACCACAAAATCTGTCATTCGATCCTGAAGCACTGGATTTATCTTTGTTAAAAAAAAAAGATAAAAAAGAAAGTATCTTGCTTCGTCAACTTTAAGGATGATTTCCACTTAAAGGGGCATGCAAGTAAATCTGTCAACACTTAACTCGACGGAAATTGTCTTCGAGAATTATCGATAACACTTCTGCAACAAATTACTGTCAAACAATTAAAACTCTTGTCTTCTTGTCTTGATATAATTATTGCCAGATGACAAAACACTTAACACGTGTTTTGTATTACAAACATTTTTATCTCTGCTACAAATACTACCTAGCTTCGAGTGCCTCTACTAGTTTATTCTATTTACGTCTAACAAACGCGTCGTTTAATTGAGAGATCGGATCATAGATGCAATTAGTGGGAATAGTTTTTAGTACAAGGTATTCATACGACAGCCGTATGAGTTTCGTAGGCGTTTAATAATAATTATTATAGTATTATGTTATATAAAATATAAAATTAAGTTTAACGCATCTTTATTAGATATTTGTAGGTTTATTGAATACATAAAATTACAATATACACTGTTTTAGTAAGATTACGAGTGTACATATAATCCATCTAAAATGTTGCATGTCTTGAATACACGAAGCCTATGCTAGCAGAGTATTTGTTTATTCTTTAATTGGAGTCTTATTTTTAATTTTTTCGGATTGAATATGGTAAATACGTTTCGTCAGTCGAGTGAAAAGGCTTTTTTTGACAATTACCAAATACTTAGTACTGCAATACTCTTACTTTTTGAGGGTAAATGATTACTGCCCTTGTTATCAGATGTTAAGTAATTGAATCAGCGCTAGGCTTGTGGTAAAAGTACAAATGATGCTCTTACTTTAACACATCTTCATTATCAAATTTACTTTGGTTAAACCACTCAGTAGCTTTTGCTGTCGTCTGAGTTTCTACCAGTCCGAGGAGGTACATTTAATTTACGTACGTAGATAGTAGCTATTACCGATAATGTAAAGTAAAAAGTAAAGTAACAGCTATACATGTCCCACAGCCGGGCAAAGGCCTCTTCTGTACAGAGGGTATTAGGGCATAGTCCACCACGCAACCCCTCTGCAGATTGGCAGCAC